CAGTATTTTAACGAATACAGTTTCTGTGTGGTTATTTTGCATGTAAGCTAGCCAGGCGACCGGGACAAACAAAGGGTACCTCTCTCCTTGCAACAGATACACACTCAGATCTTGAGGATATTGACCTAGAGGTAGAAGTGATGGATCATAGAGCAGACTTTTTTAACTTTATTAGAAACTGCCCAACAATCTTCCAAAAAATTTATTTAACAATAAAGTATAGTATATGTCTTTAAGTTTACATTTTAAATTGTATAAAGATTTTAGTTTAATGATTAAAATATTTCCTAGAAATCAATATTTATGAACTGCTTGACTTAAATGATTTTGGGGGCATAGGTATGAAGCCTATGTAGCCAAAGCTGCCCTCAGACTTGACTTTGTAGCCCTAGATGAGCTAAACTTCTAACACTCTGCCTTCAGCTCCAGTGTGAGCTGCCATCCTGGAAAAATTTAGGACATTTTGAATTCTTTCCTGCAATAACTATTTAGCCATAGCAGTGTAAAATTCAAATGGAAGGAGCTTTTAAAACCTCAATCTGTAAGATAAGAGAATAAATAAGAATTTATTTGCAGATTCCAAGGGAGGCAGTCCAGAGTGAAGTAATCTCTTCACTCCTGAGGTACAAACCATCTGCCACCACATCACAACCTGTGTTTAGAATAAGTGAAGTATTCTAGCCATACTATTTAACTGAAAGAAACTTGTATAACTCCCTCACTTGAAAGGAAGACTACTGCACTCTATGCAGTGGCACTGGGTCTTGTGGCAAAGGCTTCCGCTTTCTGTCCCTGGCAGAAGAATGAGGCTGGCCCCACCATGCACACCTTGCTTCTCTCACAAGAGCACATCTACAGAGAGCTAAGAGGAGCCTCTGAGGGACAGACAGCACTCTTGTTCTGAGTGGGGAGGGGGAGACCCCACTACATAAGGATAATCACTACTCAGGGTTCCTCGGCTATTAGAAGCTGATGGTTGGTGTTTCAAATACATCTACTTTTAAAAATTCTTGGATTATTGTTTAACATTATTTACTTTATGTAGAGGTGAGTGAGTGGGTGGGTGGGAGCCATGGCACCCATGTGGGGGTCAGAAGACAACTTACACAAATTGGTTCTCTCTTTCCACCATGTGGATCCCAAGAATTTAACTTAGGTTGTCAGGATGGTGACAAGCACCTTTTACCCACTGATACATTACATTTCACAGGCCCAGGTTTGTTTACATTTTTTTCTTTTTTCTTTTTGGTTTTTCAAGATATGGTTTCTCTGTAGTTTTAGAGACTGTCCTGGAACTTGCTCTGTAGGTCAGGCTGGTCTTAAAGTCACAGAGATCCACCTGCCTCTACTTCCCGAGTGCTGGAATTAAAGGCATGCATCACCACCACCCAGCTGTTTAAACATTTTAATTGATGCAAAATTATATATATTTGTGGATATCATGGGATATTTTGATATGGTTATTAGACATATTAAAGGGAAATTCTAATTATCAGTGCTAAATATAGAAAGTTCAATAGCTAGGTACATAGTTACACATAATAATTTTGAATTTCTATAGATAACAAGTGAAAGAAAAGCCACTATTGTTTTTCAGGAATAACATGCTACTAACACTAGAAACAGTTTTATAAAAAGTTAGAAAAGTCTGAACATAGTATTTACCCAACAATTACTTGCTGGAAGGTGAGAAGATTAATTGACCAAGCAAAGCTCTTTGCAGAAATGACTGGCACACAGCCAGGACAAAGAAAGTACAAGATGACCTAGAAACTCTTATACACCAGAAAGCCAGAAGCACCCAAAGAATGATGAGAAGATACCAGGAGCCAAGAGTCAACTGAAAGGGCCATATAATCACTGGCACACCTGAGACAATTTTAGCATCAAAATAAATGATAAGCCAGGTATGTTGGCACATTCATGGTTTCAACTAAAACTAAACAGGAACAAAGAAGAAGAGAAGGAAAAGTATCCGAGCCCAGGTTTGTAGCAGCCCAGAAACAAAGTAAGACCATTTCTTTAAAAACAAACATAGAAACAAAAACACTCATGGATCACATAGTGTAGCTTGGTGATAGAACACATGCTTAGCTTACATGGGACTCTGGGTTTAATCCCCAGCACAAAAAGGAAATGAAGCAACAGACTTTAAACCAGTAAGAACAGAAGTATAAGGATCTACAATGACATAAATAAACAAAGAAATGAAGGAAGAGGGAATTTTTTCCCTTGGAGCGCCAATGACAACTAACAAATTAAAAGGAATTCTAAGAATTCAAAATAAATCACACTAGCAAACTTAAGGGTTATAATAGATTCAAAGAAATTAGCAATGGATGCTAAATTCAGTAGGCTAAAGAAAATTTGATGAGGAACAGGATATTTGCATATGTTTCTGTATAGTCTCAAAATATCTTCAAAATGCTTTTTTACTTACTACTTATTAATACAATCAACTTTATAGTACAGAAGTTTTGCAGGCATGATCTTTACCAGGTGGCCAAAGTCATCACTACCAAAGGAAATCAGAAGCTATAAGCACTGAGTTCAGTTTTACTTTGGAGAAACACATGTTAAAAAACATAATAACCATGAGAAAACACCAGACGTACTCTACCAAGAAGCACTGTACAAACTATGGTACCTAGATGATACCCATACTCATCACAAATGTCAAGTCCTAAAGATGGGAAGACTGACTGCGTCAGATTAAAATAGAGTAAAGGAAGATGGCAAGTACATTAAGCACATGATTTTGATTACCCAAGATCTTTAAAAGACAGCCAGCAATGAGTGGAGTCTGTGGAGTAAATGATGCCCCCATTCTACTGTCTAACAAGAGGTTACCTATGCACTTAAAACATGCACATGCAGCCGGGCGGTGCTGGTACATGCCTTTAATCCCAGCATTTGGGATTAAAGAGGCAGGAAGATCTCTGTGCGTTCGAGGCCAGCATGGTCTACAGAGAGAGTTCCAGGGCAGGCACCAAAGGTACACAGAGAAATCCTATCTCAAAAACAAAAAGAGGGGAGGAGAATGGAGGAGGAGGAAGAGGAGGAACAAGAACAACAACAAGAAGAAAATGCACATGGAGTTAGAGGAGGAGGAGGAAGAAGAAGAAAGAGAAGGAGGAGGAAGGAGAAGGAGGAAGAAGGAGAAGGGAGAAGAGGAAGAGGAGGGAGAAGAAGAGGAGGAGGAGGAGAAAAAGGAGGAGGAGGAGGAGGAGGAAGAAGAAGAAGAAGAAGAAGAAGAAGAAGAAGAAGAAATGCACATGGAGTCAGGTGTGGTGGCTCCCATCTGAAATAGCACTTAGGAGGCTGAGGCAGGAGGACTGTCCTAAATTCCAGGCCAGCTAGGACTATAGTATAAGACACTGTCAGAAAAGTAAAGTAAAGGAGGAGGAGGAATGGAACCCTGGAATACTACAGGAAAGAGGAACATCACTTGAATAACTTACTCCCAGATGGCTAAATACTGCCAACCATGGGGTATCTGGATGAGAGGTATACATTAGATCTATTTCTATAAATTTTACATAAGTCTGAAATTATTTCAAAAGTTGAAAAAAATAGAAAGAAGCAGAGTCATTCTATAGCACAGTTCTAGTTAACTTGCAGGAAGACCATGCTGTGAAGAATCGAGGTCCAACCTCTTTAGGGACTAGATCTCTCCCATCTAACAGGCTCCTCTCTTCCAGTTGTACCTGCCTGGTTACACAAGCTGCCTCTGCAGTGCACTAGCATGGGGATGCCATTTTAGCCAACTGCACAAAATGTACTAAGACAACAGATCTCAAACTTTACCCCATAATCACACATAAATAACTTGACACCTGACAGACTCGAGGTCTTAATTAACAAGGCAAAACAATAACACTTCTAAAAATAACATGAAGTATCTTCAGAGCCTTGAAAGAGATGCGATTTTGCAAATAACATATTTAAAAGCACTTAAAATAAGACTAATAAATCTGCCATCATTAAAATAGAAGAATTTCTATTTCAAAAGAGGGACTGAAGAAATGGCTCAGCAGCTACAAGCACTAACCAATCTTCCAGAAGACCCAGGTTCAATCCTCAGTACCACATGGGTGCTCACAATGTTTGTAACTCCAATTCCAGGGGACCCAACACCCTAACAAAGATATATTGCAGGCAAAACTTCAATGCACATAAAAGAAAAATAAATTATTTTTTAAAAAAAGAATTACAAAAGAAGTAGACATGGTGGTGCATACCTTTAAGATCAGCACTAAAGGCAGAGGCAGGCAGATCTCTGAGAGTTTGAGGCCAGCCTGGAACACATAGCAAGTCCAGGACATCTAGGGCTAAAGAGAAAGAAAGTCTTAGAAAACAACCAAAAAAAAATTTCAAAAGGTCCTCTGCAATATTCTACAAAATATTCTAATATATTCATATATAAAGTATGTAAGTCTAGAATATGTATGAAACCTACAAGTTATTAAAAACAGAACATAATTTTTAAGAAATGTATAAGCCAACCTGTCTCTTTTCAACAGAGACTATGCCAATGACAATGAACAAATGGCACCATCATGAAGAACATTTCACCAGGCATCTTCATTAGCTGCTAGGGAAATGCAAATGAAATTTATTAAGAGCCCTAGCACAGAAGAGCTAAGAAAGCTGAAAAAGTCAATGGTGAATAAGGACAAAGAGAGCTTTAGTAACTGCTAATGGAGCGCTTGACAACGCATGCTAATTCTGAGCACATAAAAACCTACTACCCAGCAGGTCCAACCCCAGGTTCACTCCCAACAGAAAGGTGTGTGTGTATACAAGAATGTTCACAGCAGGATTATTAACAATCCCAATCTGGAAATAATCCAAGTATTTGTGCACTAGCAAGGAAAGGGCTGAATCTTACAAACACCTTTGTAATAAGGAGGCATCAGCAAAGACAAACATGTGATTCCAAGGTGCAGTCACAACTCGTGAGACACTCAGGATGACTTCTTTCTGAAGGAGGAAAGCTGCTATGGCAATGGCAGAACCTGCAGTAGTGTTTCACAGAGCAGCTGCATTCAGTTCTGCAAGCGTCATTTGTACGCTTGTCTGCACGTGTTTAAAAGTCTGTTCAAATACTCTTTCCCTTTTTCTAGCTTACCCCAATACTCCACACTGGAAATGCGTCTCTGCTGGACTTTCAGACTTTCCTACACTTTGAGTCCCACTGAGGTCTTCCTTGCTACAGTCCTTCAGCAAGGGCAGCCGAGCTGAGCTCACAGCCATACATACGGCTTTCATTAAATGCCATGAGAGCTCCTCCCATCCACACCACAGTTCACTCCCATCACCTCGAAGAGAAGGACACACAATATGTGCAATACATGGTAGAGTTTGTTAAATGTATTTATTCAAAACTATGTCACTGACCGCCTAGCTGGTCACCTTGCTTTCTTGTCTTGCATCTCCCAATCACATGTCAAATGTCACATGCTAAAATGCTCTTTTTAAACCATCATCCATTTGTTGTTAGATATTAAGTACCCTAAATGATGAAAAAAAAAGAAAGAAAAAGAAAAAAAAAGTCTTGTGAAAGGGATGCTTGGGTCTTTCACAGTGCATCCCTCCCCCCTGCCACTTCCGACTCAGCACTCACGTACAGTAACTAAAACCATCACCACATACGCAAACTGATTTCTACCAAACCTTCTTACTCCTTGGCCCTTCTTAGTATTCCTTCAGTCTAGAATGTTCTTTCCTTTTCCCCCATACCTGGACTCCCTCAAGGCCCACATCTTACTTCAGTTAACATGATCAATACCTTTAACATTAACAGCTGTTATTATTTACTTGGCACTTAATATCTACCATTAAATATTATATATTTGTGTAGAAAACTGTAAGATACAGAAAAAGAGGTTATATACCTTGTACATATGTAACAGCAAGTGTTTAATACATGCTGGTGTACCATACACAACCACAAATGTTTTTATTTTATTTTGTTTGTTTTGGGTTTTTGGTTTTTTTATTTTTTCCTTTTTGCTTTTCTGAGACATGGTTTTTCTGTGTAGCCCCAGTTGTACTAGAAATTGCTTTGTAGACCAGGATGGCCTCAAACTCACAGAGATCCACCAGCCTCTGCCTCTCCAAGAGCTGGGATTAAAAGCCACAAAGTCTGGGAGAGAGCCTTGAACAGAACAGAGGGTCTGCTATAGGAGACCACGGAGCCTGGGAGAGAGCCTTGAACAGGGCAGAGGGTTCACTATAGGAAACCACGGAGCCTGGGAGAGAGCCTTGAACAGGACAGAAGGTTCACTATAGGACACCACAGAGTCTGGAAGAGAGCCTTGAACAGGGCAGAGAGTTCACTATAGGAAACCACGGAGCCTGGGAGAGAGCCTTGAACAGGGCAGAGGGTTCACTATAGGACACCACGGAGCGTGGGAGAGAGCCTTGAACAGGGCAGACTGTATCTACCAAGCACAGGACAGTCAAGAAGAGCCTCCATAACCTGAGTATGAGACAAGCACAGGCTAACTAAACAGAGCAGAGTCACCATTAGCTAGTGAGTGGGCTTCACGCTATTATAAAAAGACCTAAAGCAGTACTAGCACTGATTCAACAGTAAGAGCATATTAATAGGCTAACAAATGAGTAAACAAACATACGGCTGAAACTGAACTCAGAAGAACTTTACTAACTTGACTTTAACAACTAACGCACTATGGCTAACACAGGCTTGCCTCTTCTCAGAAGATAAATGGACGTGATGTTGTTGTGAGTGATGCGATCAAAACAGCTGTCAAAAACTGTTCTTAGAAAATTAAAGTTAGAACTGCCATTCATTTAAGAATTTTGCACATGAATGGCTTTACAGATTTGGGGGGTTCTCAATAAACTTCATATGAATATTCTAAATTACCAGCTGTTTTCAAACTTTTACACCAATAATCAAAATATTTAACAAGACACCTTTATAATTTTGCATTAAACTAAAATGGAAAAACTTAATTATTAAATTTCTTAATACATATACTTTAAAAAGAGAAACAATTCCTTTACCTTAAAAGAAACACATTTCCTGCATTTGCAAGCACGTGTTTTTGCCAACATTCAAAGGCATAGATTTTTACAGTTTCCACTAAGTGAACTTTCAAACCAACCATAACTCTCTTCTTTGCTGTTCCCTTCCTTATCGTGTGTGTACCACTAATTGTGTACCTGTGTGACTCACAGGGCAACACAGAAAGAAGAGTAACACATGGGCTCACAGAACAAAAGGTCATGTCAATGCCGTACCTGGGTTATTATTGACATTACTTTTGGGTGGTTTCTGAACTGGTTTGGGAAGCGTAGATTCCGCCAGAGCTTTATTAGCAACAGCCTGCTGGGCCTTCTTTATACTGCTCCCTTCGGACTCCCATGTCTGCTCGCCAAGACTCAGCTGCACCGAGAACATCTTAGAAAAATACAGACAAACAGAGAAAACATAAAAATTTTCAGGTACCAAAATTGGTGGTCTGAGAGAACACACAGACACATACACACACACACACACACACACACACACACACACAAAACATAGAATCACAATTACAGCAGAAGCATATCAGTGATTGCTTGCAACAACAACAACAACAACAAAAACCTATATTCTACCCAGTGAAAGGATGTCAGGAGACTGTACCCTACTGTCTTAATCCCATCCCAAAAAAAAAAAGCATTTAGTTTGGAGGCTCAAGGTTCCAGAGGGCTGTGAGTGTAAGATCACCATAGTGAGGGTTACAGCAGCAGTCAGGCACTGAAGTCATAGCTGAGAGCTTCCATTTGATCCACAAGTAGGAGGCCCAGAGAGAACTAACTGGGAATGACAGGGTTTTTAAAAACCTCAAAGCTCACTTCCAGTGACACATCTGCTCTAAAAAAAGCCACACCTCCCAATCCTTCCAAAATAGTTCCACCAACTGGGGACCCAGCATTTAAATATATGAGCCCATGGGAGCATTCTCTGGCCCCTATTTAGTGAGTTTTCCCAACTATTTTTGCTCTGCCTACTTTAGCAGTACCATTGACTAGATGGGTTAAACAAGAGAAATCTATTATTCATAGTTCTAGAGTCTGGGTAGCAGTTTGATTTTGGGGGCCACTGATTAATTTCTTTATCTTTCCTTATATATCCAGCTACTCAAGAAATCTGCCAAGTCAGTGGTATCCATGGAAATAAAAGAAGAGAGATTTTGGAAAGCACATATAAGAAATATAGCCCACTTCGGATGGGACAGGTGTGTTCCCTCCTCTCATTCTTAGCTTGAAACCCTAATACTGGATGTGATAGTACCTGGGAGATCTTTGGGAGGTAGATGAAGTCATGGAGGTGTGGCCTCCATGAAAGAACTAGTTTTATGACAGAACCTGAACTGTGTGACAATACGTCAAGAAGACTACATCTTCAAGGCAGAAAGAGGCTCTGCCCAGGAAATTAATTAGTGGTGCCCAAACTAAACGCTTTCTTTTAGAAGTTGTCTTGGTCATGGTGTTTTGCTGCAGCAACAGAAAAGTCACCAGGAAGCTGGTACCAGAAAAGGGACACAGCTGTGAAATCCTGACCATGCTGGGTGTTTTGGAGGAATGTGGAAGATTGAACAAGAAAAGAGGTTGAGCACTGCAAGTGGGGCCTAGTAGGCCAAACTAAAAGGAGTTGGGAAGATAAAGGTGCTGAGAGCAATGTGGAAGTGGACAATGAAAGCCTAGCTCAAGAGGTTCCGAACAATATGGGTGATGGGCTACAGACCATTTGTGATGTTTTGCCAAAGAACTTGTCTGCATTTGCCATTGTGTAAGAATCTGCCTGAGGCTAAACTGGAGTTCTGGACTAATTTCACCGCCAGAGGACATTTCAAGACAGTCTAATATCAATTCTGCTGTGTGGTTATTAGTAATCGCGCTTATGCAGATCTACAACAGAAAAAAAGCAAACAGTAAACAGTAATGTAGTCATATCAAAGAGTTCCACAATAGCCCGGAACGGAGTGTAACAAAAGGTTTACTTATTTGGGAATAAACTCACATCCGCAGTCCTCTATGTGCACTGGCAACTGGGAACCAAATCCAGCAGAAAAAAGGGGTTGCACATGCTTTCCATCTGCACTTAGAGTGCCTGAGACCACGCTCAGTGGGCTGGATTCTAAAGGCTATTGGCTGGAGAAGTTCCTATAACGCAGAAAACAAAAGAAATAGAAAATGTATAGTTTAAGGAGAAAACAACAAGAAACTTCTTGTTGAAGCCTTGGTTTGTTACTAGAAGAAATATGGGGAAATGGAATAGAAGGAGTGCTGCCCTCTGGGCAAGACCCCACCCAGCTAATCCTGAAATTTGTGAAAAAGAAAAGACCTACAGAATTAGCTGTTCCTAAAGAGCAGCAACAAATCAAAACTTATGCAAATGTGATTCAAAGAATGGGCTGGGCGCCATCCCAGCAGGCGCAGCAGAACCTGGCAGCATCACCATGTGGTTCTGACCTTAGAATGAAAAGGGAGTTAGGAGTAGAGGGGCTATGCAAGCTTCCTCTGAGGGGAAAGAAAGTTGTAGGGGCCAAGGGTCCTTCAGGGAGACACAGAGAGGCCACTACATGAAGCTGAGAAAAGTGAAATTTGGAGATACTAGAGATGGGAAGAGGTTGGAGGTATCAGAGTCACAGAACACCTGCCAAGGAAAACTGCTAACAGGACGTGGAACCAGCCCAGGAGAGAAGTAACCGACAGCCAACAGAACTGGAAAGAGTGAGAGACCTGAAGAGGCCATCTAAGACCTTTGATGACAGGCATAGAGCTATTTTTGAGTCTGCCCTGCTAAGTTTCTGTCACGCATTGGACCAGTATTTCTTCACTGTGCCCCATTTTTCCCTTCTAAAATAGTAATGTATATTCTGTGCCAATGTATGTTGGAGGCATGTAATTTGGTTTTTGCTTTTAAGGGGTTATAGTTAAAAGACTGCGTTAAGTCTCAGAAGAGACGTTGGACTCTGGATTTTTAAACTGTGTTAAGACTTTGAAACACTCTGGGGACTTTTGAAGTTGTACTAAATCCATTTTGCATTATGATATGGCTATAAGCTAAGGGCCAAGGAATGCAATATGGTCCCCATAGGCTCATCTATTTGAATACTTGGTCCCCAGTGGTGGAACTGATTGAGGAAAAAAAAATAATGTGGTTTTATAAGAAAAGGAATATCACTTCAGAGTTAGCTCTTTCTCTCTGCATCCTGCTTCTGAATCAGATGTAAACACTGCTACTAAAGTGTTATGCCTTCCTGTTGCCATGACCCCCACAATGAAGATCATGGACTACAATCCTCTAGAACCCTGAGCCTCCAGTTAAACGCTCTCTTTTGTAGGTTGCTTTGGTTGTGGCATTTTGTTACAGTTACAGAAAGCATTCAAGAATCTCAACAAATTCCAAGCAAGACAAACTAAAAGACCCATACCAACACACATCATAAAACACTAATTAAATGAACTACACCTCTTGTCAACTAAACACACAACCTTAGAGAAGAGGACATCACCTTACAATATTAAAGCTGTCCATCCAGTCCTCAACAAAACTTGTAGAGCACACGTGCACACACATACACGTGTGCCATACAGCCCACTCACATGAAAGATGATTAACAAAAAAAGTCCCTGATAGTGAAGACACTGGACATACCAAACAAAGACTTAAATTGACTGCCCTTTATTATTTTTATTATTATTTTATTGTTATTGTTATTATTATTATTTTTAAGGGGAAATGCAAATACAGTCCCCCACAACCATAAATTATGCAGTCAAGTTTCCCACATTTGGGGAAACTGCAGAGGTCAGGACATCTGTAGAGCAATGGAGAAGTCTCGCCCTGGGAAAACTACCTTCATGATCATGGTATCTCCCCTGCCAGATAAGTATTTAAAATTAACTGTCTTAAGTATACTCCAAAAGTGAAGAAAACTGTACACACACACACAAAAAAAAAAAACAAAAAACCTAAGACAACAGTGGATGAAAACGTGGGGGATATTAGTTATAAACAGGCACCAACCAAATAGATATTTGGAGCTAAAAGCAATAAAGAAATTTTAAAATTCTTAGAAAAATCCAACAACATTCTTGAATAGGAAGAGAAAAGAATCAGTAAATTTGAATATGACACAATTAAAATTACCTAGTCTGAGAACCAAGAAGAATAAAAAAGAAAAATGAAGTCAGAAATGGCGGTGTGTATCTATAACCCTAACAAGGAGAGAGAGGCAGGGAAGTGACTGTGAACTGCAGGCCTTCCTAGTCCACCTGGCAATCAGAGTTGCATAGCAGGATTTGGTCTCTTAAAAAAGAAAAGGGTGGGGATGGGGGGGTGGGGGGGAGCAAGGAACCGGAAAGAAGTAAACAGAATCTGAGAAACCTGTAAGAACATAATTATAAAAATCTCACAGAAGGAAATGGGAACAAAAACACTTTAAAATTATGGCTTAACAGTTTCTAACTTTGATGAAAGAATATGAACCTATCTATCTAAGAATCTCAACAAATCCCAAGCGGAACAAACTCAGAGATCTACACTAAAACACATTATATTCAAAGCTGTAAAAGACAAATTAAAAATCATGAGAGATGTAAAGCCAGACATGTAGGCACACACATGCTGGAGGATGAGGCGGGGGCTCAGGATTTTAAGGGCAGTGTGGGATGTACAGAAAGATCCTTTTCCCAAGGCAGAGAAGATGCAACCCATCAGATAACAGATCTTCTAGAAGAGATCATCTGTGAGACTGACAGATTCTCATCAGAAACTATGGCAACTGGACCATAAGGAGGAGGATATATTTACAAAGATAAAAGGGAGGAACCACTCAACCAGGAATTCTAATATGAACAAACCACACTTCAAAAGTGAAGGTGAGATTTAAAAAGTAATCGGCAAGCTGCTGCTAGTAGCCAACAAGGTATGATGGAGACAGAAAGAGACCTTCATGGTAAGATTAAACAACACTAGTTGGTAACTCAAACATATACAAAGAAACAGAAGATTTCTAGTAAGGCAAAATAATACATAAATATAAAAACTAGTGTTACTGTACTGTTGCTTTGTAACTCCACTTTGTTTTCTATGATATAATAGACTATTGCATGAAATTTAAACTACAAAAGAAAATATAATTTACATTATAATTTCAAACCTTCAAAGCAAACAACCTAATAATAACAAGTGAAATATTTGAAAAGACACTTGATTAAAAATACACACACTAAGCAGGCATAGTGGCACTCACCTTTAATCCCAGCAATTGGGAGGCAAAGGTAGGCAGAAGTCTGAGTTTGAGGCCAGCCTGGTCTGCAGAGTGAGGTCCAGGACATCCAGGGCTACACAGAGAAACCCCGTCTCAAAAAAACAAAAACAACAACTCTTGTATAAAAGACAGGGATGTAAAAGGTCAAAAGATATTAAAAAGCAGAGTCTTAACAATTTAAACTTACTTCAGTCATACCCTGTCAATCCCAAATTATTACCAATAATGAAAAGAAAATACATATTCCTACTAAGACATGTATACACATGTTCAAAGTATCATTATAATAGCAAAAGGATGAAATCAAAATATCCATCAACCCATGGATTTTAAAGAGTGCTACATCCACACAAGGAACACTGGATAATAAAAAGAAAGAAATACTGATATACAGACTCACATAACTCAATGAAACATGACCTCAAAATGACTGCTCGGTGGAAGAAGAGCGCATATAAATTAGTACGATGATGTCAAACTCTAGAAAGGAGTTATGGTTGTTGGTCACAGAAGACAAACCACTAGCTACCTAAGATCTCAGGTGCAGGGAAACACGCACCATAGGATGCAGGATGCACTTCTGTGGACCTTGGAAATGTTGGTTCACACATACATAAATTGAGCATGAATACTTCTGATGTAGCTTAAAGCACAAAAGAGGATTGTACTGAAGCAGAAAAACCAAGTATCTCCAATCTTTCTGCTTATATTCTCCTTGCCTTCTCTCTAAACTAGACCTCTCTTACATCATCCTCATTCCACTTCCTGTATTTCCACAGCATCTTTCCATACAAAAGAAAATCATTATTTCAATCTTACCTGAGAATATAGACTCAAAAGGCACAGTCTACAGTTAAAATCCCTAGTCGTCCTAACTGTATTTTCCCGGATGATGAAATAAATAAATAAGAAAAGAAAAGAAAACCAAAACCCTATGTATGAAATCTAAATCCTGGGACAGATGTCAAGTGTGGTACTGCATGCCTGTAACTCCAGCATTTAGGGAGCTGAGGCAAGAGAATCCCAAGCTCAAGACCAGTCTGTGAGACCCCATTTGAAACCACAAACAGCAAACACAAAAACCATACACAAAATACGAAACATTTTACAAGACAAATAACTCTATCTTCAACTAACTGATATCAGTGGGGAAACAGAAAGAAAAGGTAATTGTTGTTGTTGTTGTTGTTGTTGTTGTTTGTTTTTTTGAGACAGGGTTTCTCTGTGTAACAGCCCTAGCTGTCCTGGAACTAGCTCTGTAGACCAGGCTGGCCTCGAACTCACAGAGATCCGCCTGGCTCTGCCTACTGAGTGCTGGAATTAAAGGCATGTGCCACCACTGCCCAGCAGGAAAGGTAATATTAACAGATAAAAAAGACATAATCTAACGTGATCCTTGATCGGATCCTATTTAAACAAAGCAAATGTAAAAAGATACCTGTGAGTAAACAGAGAAAAGGCACACACACATCACACTATACAATGTTAGTGTTTTCCACCTACTGAGTGCAGAAACAGCGTGGTATTATTTGTTAGGCTCTTCATCAGATGAACAGCAAAGCACTGACTAGCAGTCATGCTCTTTAAAGAAGCCCAATGGAGCCAGAGCAGAGGTGCACACCCTGTAACCCCACCACTGGTTGGGCAAGGGCAGAAGGATCATTGAATCTGAGGCCAGCCTGTGCTATATACTGAGTTCCTGGTTCAAATTCTTTAAAAATAAAATTAAAATTAAAACCTCCACTGTATAGAGAGTTAAGTAAAATAATGTGAGAAAAATATTGTTAATATGGACATGTTATCGAGTACCTGTCATGGATGTTTTATAACTTAAACTTTTAATTATTTCTTTTATTTTTGAGATTATTATGTAATTATATCACT